TCAAAGGCAGGCAGCTGGACTTCAACATCATGTTCTCTACCCGCACAGCACTCAGGGGCAGGGCCGGATTTGTCCATGGAATCCCGCGGTGCAGAGGCATATCCCGGAGCTCAAGCTCCTCCTAGCCTCCAAATGACCAGTGGGTGCCAGGACAACAAGGAGTTGGAATCCTCAGAGATTTTATTTTAATCTTTGATAATACTAGCGAGCATTTGTTGGCACTGGTCTAAGAGCTTAAATTACATGATCTCATTCTTTCTTCTAAACAACTCATTTTGAAGATAAAGAATCAGAGGTTCAGGGAGGGTAAGTAACTTGCTTAGAGACACACAGCTAGGAAAGTGGGGAGCCAAGGTTTTAACCTAGGACTGCCTGACTCCAACACCCGAACTCCTAACCACGCACTTCTCTGCCCCAGTGTGAGTCTGCGGTGAGGATGTGCGAGCTGGTCAGAAAGGGCCTTGGGAAGTTAGACCCCCCTCCTCTGCCCACATTCCCGTGCCCATTTCCACCCTGAGAACTGCTCTGGCCGCAGCGGCAGGGCTGGGAGGAGCTGCTCAATTCCTCCCGTGCTCTTCCACCTATCCCAGCGCTGAGTCTCCAGAAGTCCAGGAACAATTCCAGGCAGCGGTGACTGTGAGTGCTTGTGAACACTTCCCACCCCCGAAACGCACCACAGCTGCCTTATCTCTGATTTACATAAGACTACCTCCCCTGGACCAAGAACATGTAATCATAATCATAGCTTCCATTTATTAAGTGCCTGGAATCGGCAGGGCCCTGTGCTAAGGGCAGTGGAAATTTCCTCCCTCATTCTTCCTAATGGCCCTTTATAACGAGCGTTCCGGAAATTGAGACAAGAAAGGAGGTAGAGTAAGGAATGTGGCCAAGGCTGCGCAGCCATCAGGTGGCAGAGCTGGAACTCGAACCTGGGTCTGATTGACTTCAAAGTCCATGACCTTAATGCCAACTCTGGGCTGTGTCTTAGCCTGTGCCAAAAGAACAGAGGCCAAGAAGGCACAGTCTTTATTCCCAAGAAGCTCAGAGTCCAGTAGCAGGCACACGTGAATGCACAAATTGCAACTGGGCCAAGTATGGGGACTGACGGATGCCTGTGCTGAGTCCTGAGGTTGCCAGGGGGAGAGAGGTGTCGTCCTCGATGAGATGTTCTCCACGACTCGATGGCAAGTGACAGGAATCCAACGCAAACTGGCTTAAGAGGGGAAGAGGCAGGGATGGGGCAGGGGCAGAGACTGATTGGCTCCTATTTCCAAAAAATTAAGAGCACCGGCTTCAAGTCTGGCTTGATCCAGGAAATGAAGAAGGTTAACAGGAGTCTCTTCACAGTTTCAACCTGTGCTTTCAGTCATGTTGACTTTAGTTTTAAGAAGGGTCCTTGACAGGCGAGATGTCCACCAGAGAGAGGTACCTGGTCCATACTTTGTTGAGTCAATGTGCTTAGCAACCCCAATGAAAAAAGAGTCCATTTACTTTTAACTTCAGTCAAATGCCCATGACTGAGCGTCATTGGATTTGCTCAGGTCCCGTGTAATTTGCTCTGGTCTCACTCAATGACTGGGGCCAGAGAGGTGAGGTCATTGATTGGTTCTCAGACAGGTCTGGGTCCCCTGCTCATGGCTGAAATTGCACATCAGGGTGCTGGCACTGGGAGAAGGGGAAAGGATGCTGGGAGGGCGAAGACAGTCAGTGCCCACCCAAGGCCAGCTGAGTAAGGAAGACGTCACAGAAGAGGATCCCAGGAGCTGGGTTCTGAGGGACGAACAGGAGTATGCTGGGCCCAGCTGGGGCTGAGGAGAAGGGCGTTTCCTATCAGAGGGAACAGTCTGTGCCCGGCCACGGAAGTGTGAACTAATTGTTTGGCATAGCTGGAGGCCAGAGAACACGTAGGAGAAGAGTGTGAGATGTGGCTGGAGGGGGACAGGTGAGGGACTGCGGGCCTGGCGCCTGTGCTCAGCAGTTTGAACTTACTCCTGCAGAGAGGTAGAGCCTGAGGGTCAAGGGCAAAGACTCGGGGCTGGACCTCATGGCCTGTCCCTCTTCTCAGGTGACTCTGTTTCTCTGATTCTCAGCCTCCCCATCTGTGAAATGGGGAGAATATGGTACAGCTGTCACAGAACTGAAGCGAGGGCAAAAGGAGGCAAATCCATGAGGAACACAGAGACTGTGTAGTCAGTACTCACACACAAACCATTACCGTGGACAGATTTTAAGCATCAGAGGGACATGCTCTGATCTATACTCTAGAAAGCTCCTTCTGGGATCGGGTGGAAGATAGAAGCCAAGAGACCCCCCGGGAAAGGTGAATGTGATGGTTCAGGTCCTGGTGAGAGATATAAAGAGCTGCCGTGAGGAGGTGGAGAACACGGGGCTGACAGGAGGGGGTTCGTGAAGAAAAAACTCCACGGCATTTGGCAGAAGATCGGATGTGGGGAGCAGGAAGAATACAGGATAAAAATAAACAGGAAGACAAAAATCTATCTTTGATTTTGGATCCCTTAACTTTTCACTTTTGAACAAATAAATTTTCTCAGATAAAATCCAACCAATTTCTCCAGATTTTTTTTCTTTTCCTCTTCAAAGATGTCAAAAAATATCCTTAGACCATTTTATTCCCAGCTTTGAAACCTTAGTGTTTTGTTTTCAGCCTGAACATGCTTTGAATTTCCACCTGCTCTCATTTGCCTCACCTGAGAAGCTTGCCCACTTTTCCAGGCCATGGTGCCCCGTGTGATGGAAACAGGCTGGTTTGGGTGGGTTTACAAACAACTGTTCACCACGATGAGTCTAAATCACAAACAAGTTATCAGGACTCAAGTTCCAATGAATCCTCACCAAAAATAAATTAAGAAGAGGAAGAGGAGGAGAAGGAGAAAGAGAAAGGGGGGTGAGGAGAAAAAGAAACAGCAATAGCCATCACAAATTCAAAAGAAAACAGAAATTTGACCAGAAAAGTCCCTCAGCCACTTCACAAAATCTTTCACAAGAGCTATTTGATGTCTAAGTGTAAATAATAATGAAGCTGAGACTTTGTACTAAACTTTGTCATTTCAAAGTCACTTTTACAATCATTAGTTAATCAGTAAATGAATCAAAAACATATGGATCATATTTCAGTGGAATCACATGACTTTAAATCAGAGGAAAATGGCTGTAGGGAAAACAAACAATAAAAAGGCTTTTTTTTCCCCTTAACTTTTTATTTTTTGGTTTTGTTAAGACCCAGCACTTGATAACTGGATGAAATGAAGTTGGACACAGATAGGATCAGGTTGCTCATTGAGTTTAATGAGAATATAAACCTCGGATTTCCATTGCAGCACCCAAGTGTCCTGGGTGGAAATGCTGGAGGGAAGGAAGAAATAAACAGTATATTTACCTGTCCATGTACCCAGTAAATCTCGGCGAGAATTTCCCTGGGGAACCAGCTGCTGGGTACAAGAAACCAAACGCACCTTGGACGCTCTCCGGAGTCCAACTGCGGTGGGCATTTCAGAAGGACTTTGATGCTTGTGGCCTTTTAGTGCATCACTCCCTGCTGGCCGGATGTGGGCAGTTCCCCAGGCTACCTGAGGCCTGGTTATGAATAATTAGAATAATAAGAGTTGGAGCCCGTTGAACAGCTACTATGCGCCAGGTACCATTCAAGTTCTTGATGTTCATTAACTCATTTAATCTCATGCCTACTCTGTGTTCTATTTTCTCCTTTATGGAAACAGGAGAGGGGGTGGAAGATGGTCAAGGAAGTTATCCAAGATTACCAGCAGTTACACCGTGCAATGAATCTTCAACCCAGGCAGCTTAGCTCTTAACCACTAAGCTAGACTTCCAGGCATGATGAAGGTCTGAGGTGCTTCCCTCCCCTTGTCACCCAGAACCCAAGGGGAGGCTTAAAGCATTTCTTTGCAGTGTTCCCCAGGCTGGTGGTATGCTTACCTTTCTCCCAAAGATGTGATCTCAGAATAGACCAAATTCAGAGCCAGACCTGGCATCCTCTTGGTCCTTCTGGGCCCTGGAGAATGAACTCCCCACCGGTCTTGCATCCCTCCCTCCTCCCCCACACAGGCCGACAGAATGGACAGCCCCTCATGGGAGTAGGGGAAGCCAGGGGCCAGCACACACTTACCCAAGAAAGCATCATTTCTGCTCAAAGACCAGGGTCTTTTGGGGCAAGAGGGCCTGAGCTTCAGGGAGGCTGGGAGAAGAGTCCTCCAGATTGCCCTTCACATGTCCTCCACTCCTCCCTCACCCCACTCCAATGACACCCACTCCCCTTCCGTCCTTTGAAAGCACCAGGCTCTTTCCCGCCTCCCAGCCTTTGTCAACGCTGGTCCGGCAGCCTGGAGGGCCCTTCCTCAGGCCTCCAGGCCTCGGCTTAGATGCCCTCCTCTCCAAACACTTTCTGACCACATTGCCCAAGCAGGCCCCTCTACTCTTTCACTTGGCTTTTCCCCTTCAGTGTCTTACCCCAGTTTGTAATTGCACTTCTGTTTGCTCACTGACACGTGGACTCTCTCTCCCCTTCTCATCTGTGCTCTCTAGGAAAGGAAGCCTTGTATACAGTAGCCAACAAAACAAGATCTAGCCCAGAGCCCTGTACTGAGCCTGGACCACACACAATGTGCTCAAGAAATATTTAATTGGGGGCACCTGGGTGACTCAGTCAGTTAAGCATCCAACTCTTGATTTCAGCTCAGGTCATGATCTCAGGGTCATGAGGTCGAACCCCACATCGGGCTCTGTGCTCAGCAGGGAGTCTGCTCAAGATTCTCTCTCTCCCTCTCCCTCTGCCCCTACCCCGCCAAAAGAAATATTTAGTTGAACAGGCAGTACTAATCAGAGTCTGATCTAGGATTAGAGCTCTAATGAGAGAATTTTCACTTTTTCATTTCCTATTGCTGGGACTTGAAGCTCCCAGAGAGCTGGACTCAAGTCCTGGGAGGTGCACAAAACTGAATTTTCATTCTATTGTAATTTGACAGATTCGTGGAGCTGGGAACCTGGGACATGGAATGTGGAAGTATTAGTCACTGCCCTCAAGGAGCTGTGAGTCCAGTGCAAGAGACCAAGTCAAATTTCTCCCAGCTTGCGGTTGGCATCAAGGATGATGGCCAATGGAATTTGGACAGGTGAGCTTGACCCGGTTGGGCACAGAAGGGGGGACGGTGTCCCAGGCAGAGACACAGAAGAGGCAAAGGCACCAGGGTGGGAGACAGGGTGGCATATTCGGGGAACCTCCCATGGCTTGGCATGACTGGCATGGAAAAGGTGGCAGAGGACCAGGCTGGAGAGCCAGGCCACAGCCCAATCCTCAACTGCGCCAAATTTATGCAGTGGGTACCCCTGAAGGTTTTGCACCCAGAAGTCTGGTCAGGTCCTCCTGTTGGCACAGTGACCAGTGTGGAGGGGGCAAGACTGGGGGCAGGAAGACCAAGAGGTGAGTGAACAGATCTGAGGGCTATTGAGTGGCATATATGTTCTCTGCTGTCCTGCTGCATGGGACAAGCTCTTCTTCACCCTCTCTGGCATCAGCTTCCCCATCTATAAAATGGGAAGCATTAAGCCACTTACAAGAGCACATGTTCAATTGTCCAACTTCCCAGTTCAAATTCCAGCACTGCTGGCTGTATGACCTTGGGCAAGTTACTTAACCTCTCTGTGCCTCAGTTTTCTCATCAGTAAAATGGTGATGGAGATAGTCACTGTCTCTGATTCTTAGAGCTGTAAAGTTAAATGAGATTAAAGTATGTATAGCATTCAGCCCAGAGCCTGGCCCATAGTAGGCACTGAGTAGATTTTAGATATTCTTACCAGCATGAAAGGCTTTGGCTGGGTCCTTCCGTAGCCTAGCTATGCCCTCAAACACACAGACATACACACAGAAACATACACATGCATGTGCCTGACTCCCAGAAGCCTGTACTGGGTCCCCTACAGCCCTGGGGCAGGAGCCCAGAGGGGATCAATGCACCCCCAATCTCGCTGCCCACCCCCCGCCCCGTGTGGAGGCATCGGTGGGCAGGGCAGCTGACTCCTTGCACATGAGGCTGGCCAGTGACCGAGGAGCTATTGCCTGGGCATGAGGTAATGGAAGAAGGCTGGAGCTCACAGCAAGTGTGATGGCACACGTTATCACTCCAGCAGCCAGAAATGGGAGTCACTAATGTGCTTCAGGGCGTCCTGCCTGGGGGCGGGGGGCAGCCTCACCCAGTTCTGGCCGAGCATGCACACTGTGTCTGTGTCCATCCTCTTGCCGGAGGACCCAAACTGGCCCCCAGGGTTCACAGAGTCACCAAACAAGGGCCCAGTTCTGTATGGCCACATCCCTGTCCCCACCCCGAGAAAGAGAAATGGGAATGGAATCAAGCCGGGCTACATGGGTGGAGTGAGCCTCAGCGTTCTCATCTGTCACGTTGGCGGGTGTCCGGCTCCGTGCCAGGCCCTTGAGATTCCAGACGTGAGAGGACCTGACTCGGAACTACCAGGTGTTTGGGGCATGGAGGGGAGACAGACCTCGGAAAGCGTGACAGCGCTATTTATGATTTGGGGACCCTTGAAAAGCATGGCAAGGAGTTTGGATTTTATCCTGAGAGCCATGGGGTCTGTAGGGGAAAGAACTGGTCACATTAGCAACTAGCAGCTTCACCAAGGGGTAGAGCTGAGAATGGGTGCAGAGGATCCAAAATGGAGTAAGGTCAGAAAATCACCGGCCCAGGGACCAGCAGCCCCGGTGTCGCCCCCTGACCCAAGGACCACAGCCCCAGGACCTGGCCCCTGATGATCTCTCCAGCCCCTTCTCCTCACATCTGCTCCCACCGCACTGAGCCCTTTCCGCTCTGCCTTGCTCCGGGCTTCTCCTATCTTTCCTCATCTGTAGTTTCCACCACCCAGAACTCTCTTTCTGCCACTCTGTGCCTGTCATCCACTCCACCTTCAGGTTCCTGCTTACAGGTAATTTCCTTCAGAAAACCTTCCTCAGTGACTTGCCTCTTCCAACTAGGCCACATGGCCATGTTCTGTGTTTCCCACTAACCCTTCCCCTCTCCTTTGACCAGGATCATAGTTCTCCCCTTTAAGAAAGGGGACAGAGCTTGGCCTTCCCACCTGATGCTGCAACGCCCAGCACGTGGAGCAGCCCCTGGACATCCAAGAGGTTCCGGCTTGGGGTTCCGAGGTAGAAATGTCTCCTTAGAAAATCCTCAGTCCCACTCACCTCCCCCACACTCACGCTAGATGTCCCTCCCCACCGCCATTCACCGAGTCCCTCTTAGTCTTAGAGACGTTATCTAATGAAGTAGGCACCTGCCAACAGTTTCAAAGGGAAGTTTCTGATCATTAGTTAGGTGCAATTGTGTTGTCTTGACACTGGGAGAAAAGGGAGCCAGTTCAGGCCTCTTGTACTTTGAAAAGACTCATTCGTCCACTTCCGTCCTGTTCAGCCTCTGCTGGGCTGGATCAGGTTCCTCCTGGGCTCCTCCTGGGCTCCTCCAGCACGTGAGCTGTCCTTTTGGATTTGCATGCCCACCTCTCCCACTAGACTGGGTCTGACTGAGCTCCATCTCTGCAGCCTGGCACATGGCAGGTGCTCAGCGCCTGGTGAATTACTGATTGAATGAATGTCCTAATAAACATAAAACATCATAATGAACAGCTCAAACTGAAAGATGCCCAAGGCTGGACTCTGGACATGGAGGCTGCCTTGGCTCAGCTTGGACGAACCAGAGGGACCTGCACATGAGCCATGTCCACCTCTGGTCGGCGCCTGGGATAGGCAATGCTTGCAGATGACAGAAATATCCTGGGATAATGTGGGGCCTCATTTCCTGAATGTCCCTTCCTCCTGGGGAGTGGTTACTTCCATCCTTGATTCCCATCTGAGTGGGTCATACCGTGTCAGCCTCCTTGTTGGCCTACTATAGGCCCCTGCTAACCCAGGTAGCTGATCCCTATCTCAAGGGACCCCCAAACCCACCCTCCTTCATCTTGGGAGGTGGGGGAAGCAGGGGAAGCCCAGTGTGACCCATACCCAATGCTTAGAGTGGAGAGAGTGGGCCCTGGGGCACAGCAGTGAGTTTTTCCAGATTAGCAAGGAGATGGGCAATTAAAATCTGTCAACACCTCCCGCATGCTGAACACTTTACACACTCTGTGTCTGACCTCTACACCAGACTTATAGATGGCTGTTTATCTGCCTCCCCCATTTGACAGATGAGAAAACTGAGGCTCACAGGGGCAAAGCGGCAGGCCGGAGGTAATACACTGAATCGGTGGAGGAGCCAGGGTTCAAACTAGGCTCTCCTTGGCCCCACCGTGCTCCCAGCGCCCCTCCCCTCCAGTGTCCTGTGCCCCTCTCCCGCGGCCGGGACTGGGAGTTTGGCCTCCACCCACACTCGGCTCATGCTGCCCAGTTCTTGCCCCCGCTGCCAAGTACTGGGACCTGATTTGAATTTGGGGTTCTCTCCACTGCAGCCTAACAAAGGTTTTTATTGGAATGTCCCTCAGATTTGCAGACTTTGAAGATGTTTCAGCAATGCAGTAAAAGGCAGGTCTTTGCCACAACAAAAGGCAGAAATATCACCGAGGAGTAAACAGAATTCCTTGGCCTCCTCCGAGCATGTGTCAACATCTTTTTCTTCCCCTTCCCCCGCTCTTCTTTTTTTTTTTTTTTTTTCCTGCAGATTCAGGGCTTGTTGGGGAGGGCGCCTCCCAGGCACTGATGGGGTGGGCCCTGGGCCGCCCCGAATTCGGCAGCTCCGCCTCAGAACAGATGCCGGGGCTTTGGTAAACTGAGAAAGCGTAACTGCTGCAAGCCGCCCTCCTGACGGCCACAATTACCCACATGGAAAAGCCATTCCTCGCTCCCAGCCCCCTCGCCCTGCCCCTGGCACACACATGTGCGTGCCGCGGCTCCACAAGCAGGCCTTCCCAGAACGAAAATGTATGTGACATGTACAAAACGGCTTGATTTCCACTGATGGCTGGAAATTGAATGGATTTGAAATGCACACGCTTAAAAACAATTTCGGCGGAAAGCATACCCATTTAATATTGCGTCTCCAAATGAGGCCTCGCTCCCCAGGCAGGCTTGTAACGTGATGAAAACCAGCAGTCAGACCCCACCTGGGACCCCCACTCACCAAGGACACGGGACCCGGGGGCAGGGTGTGGATGTAAGTGTGTGTGAGTGTGTGAGTCGGCAAGTACGTGTGTGTGTACAAGTATACAGCAGTATGAGTGCATGTGTGTGTGTGTGTGTCTGTGTGTGTGTGAAGGGATAGAAGGAGGGGCAAGATGTTGCCCTTCCATACTTTTTCAAGTCAGCCCGTGTCACCTGAGCACTTACTTTGTGCCTGCAAGGGGGAGCGGGGAGAGTGTTGATCACAGGAAAGGAGAGGTCATGGCCTTTCAGAGCTTATAGGCTATTTGAGACACTGAAACCAAGTCAAGGAAATAATTGAAGAGCAAGCCAAGACCATTTTTAAATGTTGAACTGGAGAGGGGAAAGGGAAATTAATGGATTAAGCATAAACTGGGCATTGGTTTGGAATCACAAAGAACATCTGAGCTGAAACTGTCATGGGTATGGATTCATTCCTACCATTTCCTGACTGTGAGACCTTGAGCAAGTCACTTCTCTCTGGGCCTCAGTTTTCTCGCTGGTAAAATGGGTCTAATAAGACATATTGCATTCATGGAAAGATTAAAAAGATTGTGCATTAACTGGGCCCCCGGGTGGCAGTCAGTCAAGCATCTGACTCGGTTTTGGCTCAGGTCGTGATCTCAGGGTCTTGGGATCGAGCCCCACATCAGGTTCTGCGTTCAGTGGGGAAGCTGCTTGTTCCTCTCCCTCCCCCTCTGTCCCTTCCCCTCTGCTCCTCCCCCTGCTCACATGCTCTCTCTTTCTCTAAAATAAATAAAAACTTAAAAAAAATAAAACAATGTACACTAACCAACTCATTGTGCCCACTGTATGCCAAGTACCCAATAAATAACAACTCTTATTTGTATTACAATATGAATATTACTGTCGGATGTGACCTGCGCAGTAGGCATCATGCCCATTTTGGAGGTGAGAAGACTGAGGCCCAATGGCCTCAGAGTCACACAGAGACTGAGTCAGAACCTGAACCAGAGCCACCTGGCTTCAAAGCCCACTATGTCACCTCTCCCTCTGAGGCTCTGACTGACCTCTAGAAATACTGGTTTCAAAGGTGGGAGAGCTGACACAGTGGGGTAGGAAGGAGAGGTCTAGCAGAGATAAAACTTTCCTTATGGGAGAGCATCGTGGACACAGACACTGAGACAGGAAGTGGCCCCGAAGGAACATCCACTCTTTTTCAGAGTGAGAGGGGGAAGGAGCTCTTCTCCTGCTGGACTTGGTAATGGCCCTGGGCTTGAGAGGTGATCAAGACACAGCCCTGCTTCCTAGTAAATATCACCTCACCCTGGCCATTTTGTCCCCCCCAGCCAATGATTGTTCAACAGCAACTACTGGCCCCTTCCCAAAAAGAGAGGCTCTAGATCAGAATTAGAAGCCATTGTCCTGTCTCATGTTTGCAGCCAGCCAAAACCAGAGTGAGCCCCCTTGTGAGGTAGTGAGGTTCCCATCAGTGGCTGGTCCGGGATACTGTTGTAGAATTGAACAGATCACAGGACATGCAGCAATTCGATGGCTGGCACAGTTTAGTGTGACAAGACTGTTCATTTAATCAAATACCTGGCAAGCATTCATTAAGCACTGACTGGGGGCTTAGACCTGTGCTAGGCACAGCGGATTCAGAATTAATAGCACATAATCCTTGCCCTCAAGAAGCTCCTGTTCTAGCTTAATTCCCTCTCAGCCTTACTGATTCTCAGTTTGTTTTAGTTAAGGACTAAGCCTGATGGACTATGGTTTTAACTTTCTAAGCAAATATATTGAATGTTTGGTATTTACAGTTCCTTTTAAAAAGTCTTTGAAACGAGTCATTTCGATTGTTTTTACTAGCACGGGGCCATGCCTGGCCTGACTGCCTTTCTTCTACAGCAGGGTTTCTCTACGTCAACACTAGTGACATTTGGGGCTGGATAATCCTTTGTTGTAGGGGGCTGACCTATGTTAGCAGCATCCCTGGCCTCTACCCATGAGATGCCAGGAACACCCCTCTGCCCAATTGTGACAACCAAAATGTCTCCAGATATTGCCAAATGTCCTCTGAGGGACAGAACTGTCACCAGTTGAGACTGACTGCCCGAAAGGATTATCTCCACTGACACAAGGCCCGAAGAGGTGAATAAGGTTAATAAAGGAATTTCAGGGTCCCTGTACCTCAAGAATTCATAATCCCATAGGGCCTACACAAACTAACCACATGGAAAATAAGCCTCACTAAGCACCTACTGTGCACTAGGCACTGGGCAAAGCGCTGTTAGAGAGGGCAGAGCCCGAGTTCTAGGTCAGACAGCCAGATCATCAAATCCCATAGGAAATCTGCAGGGTTTGAATACCGGTTTCCTCCTCAGTCAATGGGATGATTGTGAGCATTTGAGTGAAATACGATCTGAACAAAGCATAAAGTAGATTCAGTGTCCAACTGATGTGAACCTGTCTCTTTTTTCCAACTCCGGCCCCATTCTCCAGACCCTGGGGTCAGCTTCAGGAAGTGCTGCCCGCCCCCACCCTCCACACCCAGACAAAGTGGCAAGGTCATGCAGTCTTACCCTGGGGATGCAGGCAAACAGGTGCCTGAGCATCTCCAAGTCGGAACCTCCAGGGTCTGGAGTAAACTCATTGCTCTCTCCAGCCTGTCTGTCCATCCTTAATCCCCTCACGGGCATTCCAAAAACAGGTTTCCACAAGGCCAGGCTTTGAAAGCATAAAATTAGCTTCAGAAAAGTCCTGAACTTTAGCTAGCATGTTATTGGGCAAACTTTGAGTGCCATTTGCATTCATTTCAAACAGCTCTTAGAGGGGTTCTGGGAAATCTGTTGGGTAGTGATTGTAGATTTCATTAGGCACCAGTCACTAGACGCATGGGCATTGTAGGCCTCTGTGCGCCATGGTCTGTAAGCAGCTGAAAACCTGAGATCAAGTGCAAGGAGGACTCTGGCTGCCAAATTTCAGAGTAGGAGGAAAAAAAAGAAATCTGGAATGTGTTTCTACTTACTGTCCATTCCAGTAAAATGAAACGGTCTCTCCTCCAAACATGTGTTACTGCTTAGGCCAGAAACTGTATATATTGGTCTAAATCCAGAATGGTCTATGTGACATATTACTCCATATGACAAAATTACTACAACCTGCATTCTCTGTAGAAACGCCTGTTGCAACAGTATAGGATGATAATTTGTTGTACAACAAAAGTACATAATAATTTCATGTCAGTGTGGGCCAGGCCTCGGTATTTTCAAAGGGAAATCTTGGATGCATGTGGACCAGTACTGAATATACATCCCCAATTCCTCCACCTCCACCCCCCCCCCACATGCTCATATGGTATGTGATCAGGATGGGAGAAAGTGGGGCTTTATTTATAACATACCATATTCCACTTGAAAGTGACAAGAACACACACACACACACACACACACACCTAAAAATAAAGCCAAATGGAAATCTGGTGTTCTCATGCCTGAGGCATTAGTGGCCAGAGCTGGTTCACCTACTAAAGGGTAAAGGAAGGTAATGAAGCCAAAAGACAGGAATGTTTCATCTTTCAGCACTGAGCTGTTTCGAAGCCATCCAGAGCGAAGCCACGTGAATTCCTCGAGACCCCCCAAACCACAGCCTCCTCTTTGGCCCTTGTCTGGGCTAAGGTTTCATTACGAACCCCGGGCCCCGTTCCAATCCTCTCATCTGTCCCTCTAAGCGGCTCCGACAGATCACTCTGCAGTACACGGATTCTTGTTGCGATAATGTCTTGGAGAGTAACAACCTGAAATATGATCCAGTCAGAGTGCGTTAACGGTAAAGCATTTCTTTATGACACTTTTCACAAAGCAAGGTTGCAAACCAGGGAGAAATATATGACTAGAAAAATTGAATGCAGAACATGAAACTGCTCAATTGCTAATACACTTTAGCGTGACACCATTTTTCCTGATGTGGAAACTTTGATTATAGGGAAACATTAAAACATTCTTTTTTTCCCCCTCCCTCCTTCCTTCCTTCTTTCTTTTCTTTTCTTTTCCCTTTTCTCTCCTCCCTTTCTCTCTCCTTCCATCTTTCTTTCCATTTTCCCTCCCATTGGATATGGTTTCAGAGTGGAAAACAAGAGATGTTTCTGGGGAGGTTTCTCGAAGTCTCCTTTCTTGGATGTTCCCCCCAGAGATTGAGAATCTCCAAATGCCACCGACTCCCCCCAGAGCACAACTAAATTTCGAACCTACTGCTCTCCCAGCAAATTAGCTGGGCTCTTCTTAGACATGCTTAAAATATTCCTATAAAGAAAAAGATCCTGTAAAAGCATTTTATATCTCAATTACATCAAAATCTGACTTAATTTGTCTCTGCTATCAAGGGCCATGGTTTCAGCTACTGTGGCTTAAGGGAACTAAGTTTTCTCCACAGTCTGCCTGAGTAGCCTGACCTGTCTTCTGGGTTTGGTGACCGTCGAAAATCCATCTTCTTAGAGTTTTTTGGTTCAATAAAACCTGAAACATATTTTGCCTGGCATTTTTCCTGAGGATTTTTAAACCCGTGTGCACTTTATGGCAAATGAGATCCATATGTCCCTGATTCATTGATACTTAAGCCATTAGGATGCTGTTTTGTAAGAACACTTTGATGTCTAAGGGCCGTCGAGCTATTTGGAGGGCTTTTTTTCTTCGCAAACAGGAAGTTTTCCCTTCTCAAGGAGTACACAAAGTGAGAGGCCAGCTGCCCCAGATTGTGGGACAGTGAGCAGGAAGTGGTTCCAGCCCGTTGGGATGTGTCTGTCCTGCTTGGCCACAGGGACAGCCCCCAGACCCTGCCCCTGGGGGGTGGGGTGGGAAGGGGTCTTGTGTAAGGAGCCTCAGAGCTGGCATCGGGCCTGGCCTGGCGCCTAGGTCATTAATGCCCTGCCCACACCCCTGGGACTCAGACCCATCTCCCAGAGTGGACTCAGCATGCCTTGGCATGTTCATTGCTTTTATGCGACATCAAAATAACATGTGACAAAACAAACAGCCAAATGCCATGGCTGGGGAGGTGGGTGGGGATGTCACTTGCCTTCCTTTCTCTAGGATGGCTGTGGAGATGGTGACCAGGACTTGGGTCAGCGGATGGGTAGGACTCAAGCAAGGAAGTTTGGAGACCAGTTCCGGGTGTGGCAGAGGCCATTCCCAGGGCATCTGAAGAGCTGGGGTATTTAAGTGTCGTGATCAGGGACCAGCCGGCACCCTATGAGGTCCAGGTGGACCCCACCACCAGGGAGGGGAAAGAGAAAGAACCAGGGCTTTGGACACCGGCAAGACTGAGTTTGGAATACCAGCTCTGCCACCCACCAACTTGAGTGAGTGACGTCACCCACTGGAGCCTCAGTTTCCCCCTCAGTAAACAGTAATACCCAGACTAAGCGTTATGAGAAATAATGTCCAGAGATGGAGAAACTGCACCACCACACCCCATGGTCACTCCCACCTACAATAGACATTGGTCGCTTGTTTGACTTTCCAGCATTGGATCTGCTCTTTCTGCTCTACCCACTGCTCTCTCTTGGGTGTCTCTTGGGTGGGAGGTGTGAGCTCTCTTCCAGTTCCGAGAGGCCAGATTCTCCCCTCCTCACGCCAGTGCAGCCAGGGGACCAACACACGACACTGGCCCAGCTGGTAGGATGCTTTCATCGTGATTTTGCCTCTGGAGCTTATGACTTCAGCACATGAGGACAGCTGGAGGTCAGGCTTGCCACAGCACCGTGGCACAGGGGACCATTTGTTTCTGCTGCATGTTCCTGCCTCCCTACCCTGGGACATCCTTGGTTCCCACTCACAGTCCAAGCCTAGCTCTCCAGGCCCCTGT